CTACATCAAGACCTGCAGTAGATGTAGTCACTACCTGCCTGTCTCTACATCAAGACCTGCAGTAGATGTAGTCACTACCTGCCTGTCTCTACATCAAGACCTGCAGTAGATGTAGTCACTACCTGCCTGTCTCTACATCAAGACCTGCAGTAGATGTAGACACTACCTGCCTGTCTCTACATCAAGACCTGCAGTAGATGTAGTCCACTACCTGCCTGTCTCTACATCAAGACCTGCAGTAGATGTAGACACTACCTGCCTGTCTCTACATCAAGACCTGCAGTAGATGTAGACACTACCTGCCTGTCTCTACATCAAGACCTGCAGTAGATGTAGTCACTACCTGCCTGTCTCTACATCAAGACCTGCAGTAGATGTAGACACTACCTGCCTGTCTCTACATCAAGACCTGCAGTAGATGTAGACACTACCTGCCTGTCTCTACATCAAGACCTGCAGTAGATGTAGACACTACCTGCCTGTCTCTACATCAAGACCTGCAGTAGATGTAGACACTACCTGCCTGTCTCTACATCAAGACCTGCAGTAGATGTAGTCACTACCTGCCTGTCTCTACATCAAGACCTGCAGTAGATGTAGTCACTACCTGCCTGTCTCTACATCAAGACCTGCAGTAGATGTAGACCACTACCTGCCTGTCTCTACATCAAGACCTGCAGTAGATGTAGTCACTACCTGCCTGTCTCTACATCAAGACCTGCAGTAGATGTAAACACTACCTGCCTGTCTCTACATCAAGACCTGCAGTAGATGTAGACACTACCTGCCTGTCTCTACATCAAGACCTGCAGTAGATGTAGACACTACCTGCCTGTCTCTACATCAAGACCTGCAGTAGATGTAGACACTACCTGCCTGTCTCTACATCAAGACCTGCAGTAGATGTAGACACTACCTGCCTGTCTCTACATCAAGACCTGCAGTAGATGTAGACACTACCTGCCTGTCTCTACATCAAGACCTGCAGTAGATGTAGTCACTACCCGCCTGTCTCTACATCAAGACCTGCAGTAGATGTAGACACTACCTGCCTGTCTCTACATCAAGACCTGCAGTAGATGTAGACACTACCTGCCTGTCTCTACAGCAAGACCTGCAGTAGATGTAGACACTACCTGCCTGTCTCTACATCAAGACCTGCAGTAGATGTAGACACTACCTGCCTGTCTCTACATCAAGACCTGCAGTAGATGTAGTCACTACCTGCCTGTCTCTACATCAAGACCTGCAGTAGATGTAGTCACTACCTGCCTGTCTCTACATCAAGACCTGCAGTAGATGTAGACACTACCTGCCTGTCTCTACATCAAGACCTGCAGTAGATGTAGTCACTACCTGCCTGTCTCTACATCAAGACCTGCAGTAGATGTAAACACTACCTGCCTGTCTCTACATCAAGACCTGCAGTAGATGTAGACACTACCTGCCTGTCTCTACATCAAGACCTGCAGTAGATGTAGACACTACCTGCCTGTCTCTACATCAAGACCTGCAGTAGATGTAGACACTACCTGCCTGTCTCTACATCAAGACCTGCAGTAGATGTAGACACTACCTGCCTGTCTCTACATCAAGACCTGCAGTAGATGTAGACACTACCTGCCTGTCTCTACATCAAGACCTGCAGTAGATGTAGTCACTACACGCCTGTCTCTACATCAAGCCTGCAGTAGATGTAGAACACTACCTGCCTGTCTCTACATCAAGACCTGCAGTAGATGTAGACACTACCTGCCTGTCTCTACAGCAAGACCTGCAGTAGATGTAGACACTACCTGCCTGTCTCTACAGCAAGACCTGCAGTAGATGTAGACACTACCTGCCTGTCTCTACATCAAGAAAATTCTCCTCAATATGTTAAGTCTAAATATAGTAAATTTAAAGCAATATAAACTAGCAAATCTGTTCATCAGGTCTTTTCATTCACATTCGGAAAATAAAATTGGTCTCTGTATTTCTAAGATTCCTTTTGGGATTCGAAATTAACAGAAAATTTTTATTTTCGAATTCGTCTCCACGATGACACATTATGAGGGTTCTTTCTGCAATATTGTTGTATCTATTGTATTAAATGCAATGCTAAACTCGTGTGGTTCAATCAGCCCAAGCATTGGAGGCTCGAGCCTCCGGTCCGTTAATAGCAGCCCAGGTTGTGATCAATCAGGTTGACATCGTAAATACACCGGACATGGTAATACAACGGACATGTTTATTTACATGGCGATTTATGGAAATGAGAAACATTGGAGGATTCTCCCTCAGCATTGCAGTGAAGTAAATGAATGAGAAAGAGTGAGGAACATTGAAGGTCTCACCATCAGCGTCGTAGTGGCTCCAAACTTCCATAAACTGGTTGGCGGTGAGTTTCTTGAGCTCCCGTGACTCATCATCACGGAACTGTCTCATGAAGTTGTTGCACTTCTCCTGTGAGTTCATCTTCCTCTGGTAGTCTGTCAGACCGTCAGGGCCAACTGCCATACTGTAGAGGGAACAACAAGAGTCACTATGCTTACAACTCACAGTAATGAAGAAAGTTACCAGTAGTAGATTAATTACTGTTATACTGAAAATAGGCGCTAAACCTTTGCGGGACATACATCATTGCGACTGTGTGTGTTTGTAAACTTAATGGGGGGTTGTGTAATTAAGAGATTAAGAAAACTGCAAAAAATAGTCAAAAGAAGCATTATTTACAGAGGTACATGTTTGGTTGTCAAGTAGTGAAGTTTGTCAAGTGAATCTAGAGGCTACAAGACATGCTCATGTATACAGAGGACGGTAGTGCACCAGTGAAAGTGAAGTGACTGGTGCACCAGTGAAAGTGAAGTGACTGGTGCACTAGGTGAAAGTGAAGTGACTGGTGCACCAGTGAAAGTGAAGTGACTGGTGCACCAGTGAAAGTGAAGTGACTGGTGCACCAGTGAAAGTGAAGTGACTGGTGCACCAGTGAAAGTGAAGTGACTGGTGCACCAGTGAAAGTGAAGTGACTGGTGCACCAGTGAAAGTGAAGTGACTGGTGCACCAGTGAAAGTGAAGTGACTGGTGCACTAGATGAAAGTGAAGTGACTGGTGCATCATGTGTGAAAGACCAGTAGGCCTGTTGCAGTGCTCAGCTACGAAGTAATTCTGACTGAGTTGTTCAGGTGGGTGTGTCTGATGTTTATTCCTCTTCTTGAGTATGACGTGGGCGAGGGGCACGTTTAATATCTTCATTATGCACCCCATACCCATCCTGTGGGCAGTAGTCAAAATATTACAGAGGTACATAATGGGTCCCCATGAAAGCAAAAGACTGGGCAGGAGACGCAACATTCCCCCAATGACAAGCAGCGACGCCACGAGTACACAGAGAGAACACAGTAAGTGTCAGGGGCCCAAGACTATTCAACTACCTCCCAGCATACATAAGGAGGATTACCAATAGACCCCTGGCTGTCTTCAAGAAGGCACTGGACAGGCACCTAAAGTCAGTACCTGACTAGCCGGGCTGTGGTTCGTACTTAGGTTTCCGTGCGGCCAGCAGTAACAGCCTGGTTGATCAGACCCTAATCCACCACGAAGCCTGGTCTCAGACCGATCCGCGGGGGCGCTGACCCCCGAAACCCTCTCCAGGTAAGCTCCAGGTAAACTGAACAAATGTTGTCCATGTTGATGCGTCAGACGTCCTCGTGCTCAGTAACCCGAGTACCATTATAACCCGAGTACCACTATACCACAATAAAATTCAATTCCACTATATTATAATGAACCTCATAAAACCATAATGAACCTCAATACCACTAATGAACCTCAATACTATAGTACAATGAAAATCGGTACCACTATAGAATGAACCCCAGTATTATACTATAATGAACCTCAGTAAAACTATACTACAATGAACCTCAATACCACTCTAATAAAACGAACCTGAGTATCGCTACACTTCATTGAACCCCAGTACCACTATACTACAATGAACCCCAGTACTATGCTACAATGAACCTCAGTACTACTATACTACAATGAACCTCGGTACCACTAAACTATAATGAACCTCGGTACCACTATACTAAATGAACCTCGGTACCACTATACTACAATGAACCTCGGTACCACTATAATAAACTAACCTCGGTACCACTATACTACAATGAACCTCAGTATCAGTATACTACAATGAACCTCAGTATCACTATACTACAATGAACCTCAGTATCAGTATACTACAATGAACCTCGGTACCACTATACTACAATAAACCTCGGTACCACTATACTACAATGAACCTCAGTATCAGTATACTACAATGAACCTCAGTATCAGTATACTACAATGAACCTCAGTATCAGTATACTACAATGAACCTCAGTATCAGTATACTACAATGAACCTCGGTACCACTATACTACAATGAACCTCAGTATCACTATACTACAATGAACCTCAGTATCAGTATACTACAATGAACCTCGGTACCACTATACTACAATGAACCTCAGTATCAGTATACTACAATGAACCTCAGTATCAGTATACTACCATGAACCTCAGTATCAGTATACTACAATGAACCTCGGTACCACTATACTACAATGAACCTCAGTATCAAGTCACTCTTCATTCTCCTCTCCCCTCTCACTCTCCCTCATCATCCTTGCGTGGAGACACTTGCCCTGTTTTCACTCTTCATTCTCCCTCACTCTTCATCTTCGTTCTTGTCTCATGTGTGTCGCTCTTCTCACTCAAGTCATTAGTGTTGTCTGAGAATAATCAGGATACATAACCATCCCAGAGAGTTCGTTATACCTTCAGATGTAGCCACTTAGCCTCTCCACACACCATCAACCCTTGCTTCACTTCACACTAATAATGCAACTTTATTGCTCAAGTCACTTGCGAGAGGTTGAGGTAAAGAGAAAAGGAAGCGAGAGAGGGAAAAGTGGCAGTGGAGATGAGAGTAAAGATGAACACATGATGTTCACTCACGACCTTCTTAGGAAGTGTCATGTGTAACCAGGGTTTACTGAGGAGGCTGGTAGAAAGTGTCATGTGTAACCAGGGTTTACTGAGGAGGCTGGTAGAAAGTGTCATGTGTAACCAGGGTTTACTGAGGAGGCTGGTAGAAGGTGTCATGTGTAACCAGGGTTTACTGAGGAGGCTGGTAGAAGGTGTCATGTGTAACCAGGGTTTACTGAGGAGGCTGGTAGAAGTGTCATGTGTAACCAGGGTTTACTGAGGAGGTGGTAGAAAGTGTCATGTGTAACCAGGGTTTACTGAGCTGGAGAAGGTCATGTGTAACAGGGTTTCTGAGGATGTAGGTGTCATGTGTAACCAGGGTTTACTGAGGAGGCTGGTAGAAGGTGTCATGTGTAACCAGGGTTTACTGAGGAGGCTGGTAGAAAGTGTCATGTGTAACCAGGGTTTACTGAGGAGGCTGGTAGAAGGTGTCATGTGTAACCAGGGTTTACTGAGGAGGCTGGTAGAAGGTGTCATGTGTAACCAGGGTTTACTGAGGAGGCTGGTAGAAGGTGTCATGTGTAACCAGGGTTTACTGAGGAGGCTGGTAGAAGGTGTCATGTGTAACCAGGGTTTACTGAGGAGGCTGGTAGAAGGTGTCATGTGTAACCAGAGTTTACTGAGGAGGCTGGTAGAAAGTGTCATGTGTAACCAGGGTTTACTGAGGAGGCTGGAAGAAAGTGTCATGTGTAACCAGGGTTTACTGAGGAGGCTGGAAGAAAGTGTCATGTGTAACCAGGGTTTACTGAGGAGGCTGGGAAGAAAGTGTCATGTGTAACCAGGGTTTACTGAGGAGCTGGAAGAAAGTGTCATGTGTAACCAGGGTTTACTGAGGAGGCTGGTAGAAGGTGTCATGTGTAACCAGAGTTTACTGAGGAGGCTGGTAGAAAGTGTCATGTGTAACCAGAGTTTACTGAGGAGGCTGGTAGAAAGTGTCATGTGTAACCAGGGTTTACTGAGGAGGCTGGAAGAAAGTGTCATGTGTAACCAGGGTTTACTGAGGAGGCTGGTAGAAGGTGTCATGTGTAACCAGGGTTTACTGAGGAGGCTGGTAGAAAGTGTCATGTGTAACCAGGGTTTACTGAGGAGGCTGGTAGAAAGTGTCATGTGTAACCAGGGTTTACTGAGGAGGCTGGTAGAAGGTGTCATGTGTAACCAGGGTTTACTGAGGAGGCTGGTAGAATGGTGTCATTGTAACCAGGGTTTACTGAGGAGGCTGGTAGAAGGTGTCATGTGTAACCAGGGTTTACTGAGGAGGCTGGTAGAAAGTGTCATGTGTAACCAGGGTTTACTGAGGAGGCTGGTAGAAGGTGTCATGTGTAACCAGGGTTTACTGAGGAGGCTGGTAGAAAGTGTCATGTGTAACCAGGGTTTACTGAGGAGGCTGGTAGAAGGTGTCATGTGTAACCAGGGTTTACTGAGGAGGCTGGTAGAAGGTGTCATGTGTAACCAGAGTTTACTGAGGAGGCTGGTAGAAAGTGTCATGTGTAACCAGGGTTTACTGAGGAGGCTGGTGAGAAAGTGTCATGTGTAACCAGGGTTTTACTGAGGAGGCTGGTAGAAGGTGTCATGTGTAACCAGGGTTTACTGAGGAGGCTGGTAGAAGGTGTCATGTGTAACCAGGGTTTACTGAGGAGGCTGGTAGAAGGTGTCATGTGTAACCAGAGTTTACTGAGGAGGCTGGTAGAAAGTGTCATGTGTAACCAGGGTTTACTGAGGAGGCTGGTAGAAAGTGTCATGTGTAACCAGAGTTTACTGAGGAGGCTGGTAGAAAGTGTCATGTGTAACTAGGGTTTGCTGAGGAGGCTGGTAGAAAGTGTCATGTGTAACTAGGGTTTGCTGAGGAGGCTGGTAGAAAGTGTCATGTGTAACCAGGGTTTACTGAGGAGGCTGGAAGAAAGTGTCATGTGTAACCAGGGTTTACTGAGGAGGCTGGTAGAAAGTGTCATGTGTAACCAGGGTTTGCTGAGGAGGCTGGTAGAAAGTGTCATGTGTAACCAGGGTTTACTGAGGAGGCTGGTAGAAAGTGTCATGTGTAACCAGGGTTTGCTGAGGAGGCTGGTAGAAAGTGTCATGTGTAACCAGGGTTTACTGAGGAGGCTGGTAGAAAGTGTCATGTGTAACCAGGGTTTACTGAGGAGGCTGGAAGAAAGTGTCATGTGTAACCAGGGTTTACTGAGGAGGCTGGAAGAAAGTGTCATGTGTAACCAGGGTTTACTGAGGAGGCTGGAAGAAAGTGTCATGTGTAACCAGGGTTTACTGAGGAGGCTGGTAGAAGGTGTCATGTGTAACCAGAGTTTACTGAGGAGGCTGGTAGAAAGTGTCATGTGTAACCAGGGTTTACTGAGGAGGCTGGTAGAAAGTGTCATGTGTAACCAGGGTTTACTGAGGAGGCTGGTAGAAGGTGTCATGTGTAACCAGGGTTTTACTGAGGAGGCTGGTAGAAGGTGTCATGTGTAACCAGGGTTTACTGAGGAGGCT